ATAGTTGTAATTTATTGCGGAAGCAGCGCTTCTACCTAGCGAATCCTAGTTCCCTCCGTATATTTTTCACTTCTTCCTTTTTTCTTTCATTTTCCGTACTTACTCTTATTCATCCCTCTCTCGTCCTCGCTCATTCCTCTACCATTTTTTTTTTCACTTGCTCCTTTTCTCTATCTCCATCTCCATGCTTCATACAAAGTGAATTAGTTGAATTATAAAGTTGGTAAAAATTTTAATTAAATCCCGTATTTTCGCTGGCGCCGAAGTTTCCAGAAGAGGCTCTCTCTCTCTCGCATTTATACAGAATAAATCTTTCCGGTTGAAGTTGAAGAGGCTGAAAATATCATTTCCATCCTCAAAAACCCTCCCCCAACACGCTGCATCCCTTCAAACAAGACTTTTCAGCGAGAGCGAAAACGTAATGTGTATATATGTATCAACCCTTATGAGTGTTTTATGCCGTTCCCCGCGAGGTTTCGAGCAAAAACCGGGGTGGAAAAAGGAAAGTCATTAAACCGAATGGATACGGCAAAAAGAACGAGAAAATATTTTTTTTATTCGTCTCTCATTATCTGGGAAGTCCATAAACTATTGGTGGTGGTTTTTCGTATTTTCACGGAGACCGTAAAATTAATAGAGGTTGCTTGTATCGGTAAAAGGCCAGATGCGATTTTGGGTCGAAGCCCGAAGGGCTTTAAAACCGACGAGGGTGAGAAGACCTTTGCGCCAGATAGAGAGAAAAGCCCTTTATTTATGTTCTTAATTTAGTTATAATATTAGTTGGGACACTTTAATAATGATTTGCTACGGAAATTGTTGTTCCAACTAAAACGACAGAACACCTTTCAGGGGTTTCAGAAACCAAAGTCCGAAACGTCACGGACTTATCCACTCAATCCCCGACAACCCTTCAATCCGATCTAATTAATTCGGTATCTATTAACTTCGTCGCTTCCACTACTTCCTTGAATGACAAGCAACTTTCGGAGAAGATTTACCCCTGACGATTTCCCGACGCAAAACAACACCCCCGACGCGAAGCTCAACATCTTATCGCCACTGCGAATATCGATTTCCAAGAAACTCTGCTTCTATTTTAAGCACCTTGGAAGTGTAGTGAATGAGCAAATAGAATGAGTAAAAATAAATGTAGTTCAACGATGCAATTTTAATTACAATTTATCTAATGAAATTGTTAGGAAAAAAACAATTCAAATGATTTCCTTGAAGGATTTTTTTTTGTTGAAAATAATGCTTCCGTTAAGATTTGTTCGTTTAAAACTTCCGCGAATCGTTTTGTGCAAACGGCGCTCGGATGCACCGGCTCTCACCTTATTTCAATATTTATACACCCTGCTCATATTATCTTCGTTTCCGTTTCCGGCGTTCTCTAGCGGAGATCGCGTCAATTCGCGTCGGATGCGAGTTTACATTTAAAATATTAAAATGCCCACTCCTGGGGGAAATTACTACCATCCTCTGTGCAGAATCTGTGCGCGAATTATCTATGAGCATTTAATTGGATCCATCTTCTCTCTAATTCAACGTGTATGTGTTTTTTGTTTCTTCTTTGCACCCGCAGTTTTATTGCTGCGAAAATTGAAAACCTCTTGTTTATTTTCTTTTATTTATTTATTCTGTTTCGTTTCCTTCCGTTTTCACATTACCAACGCTGTCCAATATCTTTTCTTTTTCGCTTCTTACTTTCGCTGCGGTGCGTGGGCTCTTTTCGCCGTAACGATTTTCCCCAGGAGACGATTTTTCACCAGGGGGAGCGGGAAATAAGGGGGAATGAAAATGTGTGCTGAAGAAAGAAGGAAATAAGAAAAAGGAGTGGAGTCTGCCACGATAAAAACGGGACGGACCATTACTTGAAAAATATTTAACAGCAAATTGAAACCATCCGCACTATTTCCTCTCTAATCTAGGAAACACGACAACAAAGAAGTAGATGCGAGAGGGGAAAAAAAAAGAAGAAAAATGGAATGGAAGAACTCAATTTCGCAACCGCAACACTTTATATAATATATATTTTATATAAAATAATTTCAAGCAAAACTTATTTTCTTTTTTTTTTACAAATCCCTTTATTTCTCATCAGTTTAAACACTTACTTTAATAATGTTTAACTTTCAGTATTTTCAGAATTGACATGACAGTTGTTTCTTGTAGAATTATGTAATTAATTTGCGTGGTTATCCCGTAATGATGATAGAGCATTTTCAATGTTGACATAAATGACAGCTCATAACAATTGACAGCTCGTAGTAAATGACAACTCGTAGCAATTAACAGCTGAAACATTCCAGTAGATATATTTTCATAGAAATGTTACTACGTAATATTAATTAATAAACCGATGGCAAAAATTATTTGTTATTTTCAGACATTCCTGACAGTTCGTATGATATGAACTGTCAAAATCGTAATATCAATACAAGATTTGTATCATTTGAAAGGTGACAGTCTCCAATATACGTTTCTTGTAGAATTATGTAATTAATTTGCGTGGTTATCCCGTAATGATGATAGAGCATTTTCAGTGTTGACATAAATGACAGCTCATAGCAATTGACAGCTCGTAGTAAATGACAGCTCTTAGCAATTGACAGCTGAAACATTCCAGTAGATATATTTTCATAGAAATGTTACTACGTAATATTAATTAATAAACCGATGGCAAAAAATGATTCGTTGAAATATCGTTAAAATAAATAATTTATTTATTAACACACGCAGCAACTGGCTCACTTTGTATCAGTTCATTAATTAGGTGATTGCAATCAACGGGAACCGAACGTACGTTGATTGTTGATGTTATATTTTCCGATTTATTGATGCGCAGTAATTAGTTTTTGGATAATTAATTGCGCGAACGAAATTGCGTAACTATTCATTCAATATTTTTTTTTCAAGTTAATTTCTCATGTAAAGACAACTTTTGTTTTCTTTCTTTAAAGCAATTTAGAAAGGACGGCGTGGGTGGTTGTTGTTTATTTATCTTTTGTTTTATTTTGTTTTTTTTTTCTAGAGGGAGGGAAGGCAGATGACGCATGCAAATCGAGGCACAGCTGCAACCAACGACACCTGATTTTAACCTGGCCATGCTCCATCGGGGGTGGTTGTTAGAAGCAAGTTAATTGCTGCAGCAAGCGACACAAAGAGGGTTGAAAAAGGAACGAAACAACAACAGCAGCAGCAGCCACAGAGGAATAGGGAATTCTGCATTTCTGTTGCGTTTTTTTATAGGAAAAGTTGTTGCTCAGAGTTCGTATCCATCAATGGGCAGCTTAATTGGATTGATGGTGAAGAATCGACGGATTAAATTAAAGGTGATTTCGCTTCGGTCGCACTTTGATTAGAGTTTCAACTGTGTCTCCGTTTAACACGATCTGACCTCACGTTTAATGACCACCCCCCGTGCATACACACACACAGCCGCCTCCTCCCTTATTTATTTCAACCTCGAGTCCCTTTGGAGAGGACGCAATTAATAAACAGGGATAATGCAAATTGCCGCATCACGCGATGCACATCCGAACATCAATTTCTTCAACTTCTAGCGGTTTTCTTCCTCCGTGTGCACATACGTAAATGTACATTCACGTCCAAAATAAACTTTTCCATTCGTGCAATCCCATTTCTATCTCGTTAAATTCGCGATGTACGGTACCTCATTTATAAAACTTTATCCGCTCCAAACAAACTCTCCTACCCGAAATCGCATTTCATCATCATCATCATCGTTCCACTCTCAACCCTCCAACCCATATATTTTCTTCTTCATCATTATTTTTCTTCTACATATTTTTTTTTTCTATCTCTTTGCATATTCTCTTTTATTTATTTTTTTGTTAGTTACCGTTCCTCCACTCTTTTAAATTTTCAATTCCGCCCAAGCCTATTAGATTTTCCTCATAAAATTGCAAACGCATCGGAGAGAGAAAGCTTTGTGCGCATCAAGTTCTTAATCGTTTTCTGAATCTGAATATATTTCAGGCGCAACTTCGTGTCACAAGTTTGATTACCAAAGTTTTAAACGAAAATTTACACAACTGTTACATAAATAATATACACGTTCATTTTCAAAAAGCAACATTCAAGAAACTATATAATTTCCAGCCCATTTTTTTCATTATTCATTATTGCCTACTGTTAAAAATCCATCTAGCTTCAATTCACATTAGTTTCTTCCAACAGTTTTAATCGTCGAAAGACAAAATTGAATTTAAAAATTAATGATTCCATTTGGAATAACTTGGGCTGGAAAGGGTTAGTATTTTTTGTTTGTTAATATAATGAAACTGAAATAATTATCATGTTTTCTTATAAAACTAAAAGTTTTCTTAATGTCGACTGTTTTCTATTTAATTTTTTTTTTAATGAATCGTTACGAAAATCTATTTTTAGCTGCGGTTGTGTGAGACACGCATCGAAATATAAACGTACACAGTTCCATAATGAATTTAATGGCAAAGTTGTGAGAAAGGAACAACTCGAAACAATATGCGACAAAAGCAAATACAATACCCACAATTATACTAATTTACTTAAAAAAAACAGTATAATAAATTTTCTTTCTGAAACTAATTGACGTTATTATTACTAAAATTATTTCTAATTGATTGGAAGAAAAAATTAGTAAAAACGTAATTGTAAAAAAATTAGTAGTTTGGAAAAAATCATTGATTAGTAAAAGTTAGTAAATTACGTTTATATTATGTACACTAATTGAAATTAAATAAATTTAGAAAACATTTTTTGAAACTTTTTTAATAATTTTTTATTGGTTTTAATCAAATACAAATTGTAATTAAATTATCAAATACAAATTGATTGAATTATAAAACTAATTGAATACAGATTACTTTCAACTATAGTGAATTGTCGTTTCTCAAATTCTAGATTTACTTTGAGTTTAATGCAAACTTAAAGAATTTCTTTTGAGAAATTGACTAATATTGGGGAAATGGATGATAGAAGCAATAGATTCCACTCACCGGACCGAACTGCTCGAAGTAATTTTTGACATCTTCAAGGGTCGTGGGCGCTGAAAGGCCACCCACGAATATCTTTTTCGTCCTGGTTACCATCTGCAAATCACACAAAAAAGAAAATACATTAAAAAATTAAATAATCAAATTTTACATTATAATTAATGAATCATTAGAGTTATAATACTAATTATAGCAGTATTAAGACTGTCTTTGTGCAGTTGCAAAGTTTTCAGTGGGATTAAAACAAAAAGGTCGTGAATCTCTTAATGTCGTTAAAAAAAGTTAAAGTATAAATCTTGTATTTAAAAATAAATACGAACACATTCTTCTTTCAAACGGCGAAGGTTTTCTTGAAGAAATGATGATCAAACAGAGAATTACTACCCCTTTATTTATTTTTATTTTTTCGCTCGCAAAACCCAAGAGATAATTTAAAAAGTTCCTGCTAACGGTATGCAAATACATTTCAACTTCATGTAATCCGAGGCGCTGCGCGCCTCCTCTTCTAATTGAGTCGGAAAACTGGATTTATGCAATGTTTGGGTGCAAAAAAAAAAACAATAAAGAAAAAATGAAAATTTCTTCTTTTTGTTTTATTTTTTTTTTGGAAGCAAGTTCACGATAGGTAGGTCAATATCGTGGTACGTGCCGGAGGCACGTTTTTGGTATATAAAGTTAATGGTCTGCACGGGGCACCGGCTTTCTAAACCCACGAACTGCTCCATCACGCCATTAATCCCTTCACTTTATCTCCAAGTAATTAAAACGGAAAATCCCTAAAACACACCGGAGCCCCCTCGGTCCGAAAGTCCTCATCCTGCAGCTCAACATATATAGTAATACTTATACACACACACACATAGTTATATATATATATTTTTTTTCCAACTCTTCCCTCCACCACACATTCATTTATCCTGGGACAAACCCCCCTTTCGCATCCTGCACTCCCCACGTCAAGCGAGAGCATTCGCATGCAAATAAAAATTTCCATGTATATTTTAGCAATGTGAATAATATATGTAGCCTTGCTACCAAAAAAAAAAGAAGAGAAACGAAACGAAGAGTAGACCAAGCACTCACTCCAAATGCACCACCGAAAAAAAAAAATATATATATAATGAAAAATAGTGTATTTACTTTGACTACCGACTTTCATCCCCCTACACGCATATATTATTTACATTTACTTTTTTTTATTGCGCCCAAATAAATCCCTAAACTGTTGTGCAAACGGCGTTAGCATCGATTTCCGCTTATATCCGCAAAATTTTAAAATACCCGCACATTCCACACACTCTTCACCCGCACGACGCATAAATTCAATCGGCGAGTCGAAACATCCCCTACGAGAATTTCACCCTGATAAGTTTATGCGCACCATTTTCCACCCACATCCAATATATAAGCAAATATGCACACACTCGAATAAATCTGTACACTATTTTCGTTTGATTCTCATCCATAAATATTCTTAAAATCTTCTTAAACCATGCCCAAATTCAATTTATAAATTTACTAAAGTTATAGATACTTTTTTTTTTATAAATCAATCATTTAAACGTGTATTCAATACAAACTTTTTTTAATTGTATAATGAAACATATTCAAAAATACACATAATATGTTTACACAAGGACTACTCTTCTCATCGTCACTCTTTAAGCGAGGTTTCACTGTATATAAATTTCATATTCATTTAATTTCAAATAAATTTGCGAATTTGCTTTAATATAGTTAATGAAATCATCATACGAATTAAACTTTATTCAATTTAAACGTTATTAAAAAAAAAGTATGGAGCTGCAACAATTTTCCATTAATTTAATTTTAGTTTTTATTAATACAGTTTATTTATTCATCGTTTTAAATCATTTTTTCATTGAATTTAATAAATACACGAAAGAGCTTTTTATTCGTTTAGTTTCAGTGTAATTAATAGAAAAATATTTTATGCCAAATTTTGTGCAAGAGTTCAAATAGATTTTATGCAAGTTTAAAAATGGGTCATTTTATATGAGCTCTGGAAATAGCTAAAAGCTAAAAATATATATTTCAGTTTTGATCTTATTGACGTCGTTTGCTTTTGCTTAAAAACGAATTAAGTTTATTGAAATATTATTTAAATTGTTTCTTATAGTTAATAGTAGGAAGTCGTTAAGTAAGACAATTCGTACAGTTTTTATTTTCTCTGGTAAATAACAATGCTCTCGTAATTATATTGAGATTAAATTTGTGCTGATTCATGCGACGGAAGAAAGAAGCGAAGAGAATTGAGGGAACAAACAGCGAAATGAAAAAGAAAAAAAAAGGAATGATCATCATCATCGTGGTGGTAATAATAACAAGACGGAGCTGCGTCCTTTTCGAAGGATACAGCACACTTACGTATGTGCAGCAACAGCAGTTATTAATCTAATCTCGACAGCGAAAACAAGCACGATCTCTTCTCCTTTCCACTCATTCTCCCATCTCATCTCTCCGAACCCACGCAAGAGGATTCGACGAATGCTGGAGAGTCGAGGGAGAGAACGATTTCCGTATGCAAATCCAAATTGATTTCCAGTGCGGTTTTCGTGCCTTCAAGCAAACACCCGAAAGTTAGGTAAGCATTTTCGATCCGGCACAAAAGGTAACTTCGACAATCATCGCATTCCAATTAGTTATTGCTTTCTTGCGTCCGCATTCGATTAAAAAAAAAAAGTAAATGAAAATTACCGCTGCTAAATTAATAAACGATTTTCAGGGTAATTAGTGGAAATACGAGTTCGGATTAATTGCTTCCACATTTAAATATTTCAACTGGTAATTGGATAATTATAAAATAGTTGGATTCAAATAAAAACGAGTAGAGAAACACACAAAAAAATGAGCGCAATCGTCATTAATAATTTACGCAACGTACGCACTAATTGAACTCTAATTACCCTCTTTTCAAACGCTTTTTTTCTCTTATTTAATTCCTTCTCTCTCTATTTCTTTCAATTTCCAATCGATTAGACGTTTTCTAACGGTCTGACCTATTTGTATGATGTGACCGATCGCGGGGGGCGGAAAATGGAAGGGCGCTAAGTCACCTCGCAGATTGCATCTGGATTCGATTATGTGTGGGGCGGCCGAATCGAATGGACTTTTTTTTTTATTGTATTCTACTCCTCGTATTATTTCCTTTACGAATCGCTAATACCGCTCCCGGCCACCGCCCCCCAAGCACCGGAACACAATGGAATCGCCGGGGCGCACAAAGCGCGGGGGGGCGGCGGCTGAGGCTATTTATAAATTATTAATGGATCCATTGTTACCAGATGTTTCGCAATTATAAAATCGATGATTTGCAATTGAAAACGAACTGCGACACCTCAATTCAAAGGGAATCATCAGCAGTTTACATCAAAATACACACAATCTAATTCAATTGCTCTTACAAATTGAAATTATTAATAATTATTATTTGTAATTAAAAGAAAAAACCAATTAGAAAAGTTTTTTGCGTGCGAAAGTTGAAAAGGAAAAGAATCGATTCTGTACAATACGAAAATGTACAATTAATCCATTGATTAACCGGCAGCAATTTACGTTTATTTTTTGTCTCTGTCCATTGATTCTCTTCAGTTTTCAAGGGTGGAAGGAAGACAAAAAAATATATATATCCGCTTGAATGGCAATAGTCAATGGATATCGGGAATGGGAAGTGCTCCCTTTTTTTTTTCATTCTCCCTTTATATATGTAATTTTTTTTCTCTCCTTTTCACACAGAGTACTTCGCATAATCCCCATTTCCAAATCCAGGATCGAAATCGATTTTCAAGCTATTGTAGAGATCCTTAACTTATTTATTGAATTCTCAGTAGTGACTGCTAAAAATTGTTTCAACTTTTCTTAAATTTGACTATTTTAACTGTATGAAATAAATTCGATGAAACCTTTTCAGTTTATTTTGTAAATGTCCAGTTTTATTCAAGCGAAAGCCATAAATTACACACGCACGCAGTGCCAAAACGGCAATTTGTTTAAAATTAATTAATAAGTTCATAACGGTGGCGGCGGCGTCGCGACGCTCGCACCTCTTGACAAGACGGGGGGTTCTGATAAATGAGCCACGCTTGACGCAACTTCACTTAATATGTGAGAGATGCCTTAAATTATTACACTCAACGAAACTTACACAACTTTAACGTGCACGTAACAATTAATTTTGATATTTCAAAAACAATACACGGCGGCCCGCAGCTATGGAGCTCCGAAGCGTCGCCGCCTCCGCCTCCGCCTCCACCCCAAACAACAAACTCCGAAAACGAAAACATCAACAGGATTCAGATTAACGCAGAACTTTCTCGCTCAGTCCTCCTCCTCCTCCTCCTTCCACCGTTAATTGAAACCTATCAGTTTTAACACTCTCAAACTCAATTATATCCAGATAACAATCTATTTATATAATTAATCTCGCTTTAATGGCATCCCATAAACAACAAGTTTTCAATCTCAGCAAAGATTCTCATAATATTTCACTAATTATTAAATCATTCTAAAAAACAACTATAAAAATTAATAAAATTCATTTTTGTAAAGGTTTCATTCATTTAAAAAAATGATGAATTTTTCGTGTGCATAGAAATAATAGTAGTTATAGATTTAGTATTTCGTTTTTTTGTTGTTGTTAAATTTTGATTGGACATTTTATAAAATGTATAAATATGTGAATATAGAAATATTTTTGTTATGCTATAGAATGAAAATAATTTATGGATTTACACCGGAATGTTCGTAATATTTTCACTGAAACTATTTCGTGGCTTTCGATCCAAATTCGATATTACATTTTTGCAACGCAACAAAGTGGATAAATCGTACACAATTTTTTTTAACACTTATTTGATTATTAGTTCAAACAGAGATTTGAATGCAAAATTATTATTTTAAACAGTTTACATACTTAATTTTGTGAATTAACATAAAGAAAACGTAATAGTTTTTGCTTTGTATTGTTATTATATTAAATCTCGTAGACTGAAAACTCTATTATATAACAAAACATTGTATTTCATTTTTATGCTTCGCGCAGAAAACATTATCTAAATTTATTAGGCTTTTTACTGCCGTTCCTTCTATGATAAAAACAATGTTCTGAGACATTAAGCCTAGATGACATCGCATCTATGAGAATCTACCCTCCTATAGGATCCATCAACTACAACCGTTAAATCATGTTTATCATGTTCATGATTTATGCAATTGATAAAAATAAAGACAGAAAATGTAATAGTTAGTGAAATAATGTAATGGTGATAATTTGTAACGTTGCGTTATGATTATAAAAGATGTATGCAAATCCTGATGTGTTTTCGGGAAACGTTAGAACCGCATTTAAGTGCATATGCATATTGTATTACCAAACCGCTAAAGGTCGGATTATTTGTTTACTAAATTCATTGAATGATTCATACATTCATACCTTAACGTTCCTTCATTATTCACTATTTCGATTTCTCATTTATATTAAAATTGTAAATTTAGAATGAAAATCGTTGCAGGACGACAATTTTAAGCTGATAAAGTTATTAAGACTACTTCTGTCCATCCATGAAACTTAAGCTTATATAAAAAAAAAAAGAAGATTTCCCATAAGATTTTATGCTTTAGCCAATTGTGCGGTCTTTAGTTAAGGTTCTTAAAAATCGCTTTTCTTCAACCCCCCAAAGAAAAAAAAAAGAATCCTGCGGATTACTTGGGTTTCGTAAGATTATTCTCGACTAAAATGGGGAAAGGTTTTATAAAAAGGATGTGAATCTATCTGGTTCACGGTTCATTAACGGTGCAACGAAAATTCCGGATGATGATGATGATGATATGTAGGTAAACGTGGGTCGGTGGAAAATAATTATTATCGGAGCCGTCCGTTGTATCTATTGTATCTATATAGTCTCGTATCCAAACCATTGAGAGTCGTCGTCGGAGTGGAACAATGCGTGATTAAAGATTTTCGGGGGGTGGATGGAATTAAAATGGAATGGAAAACGCCGCGTGTAATAATCGAATAATGGAGAGAACAAAAGCGAGAACGACGACGATGATTATGATGATGATTTTTTGTGTTTGTGTGTAGAGAATGTGTGCGCGTTTCCTACGGATCCGAAACTCGGGGATGGATTTAATGTAATTTTACCTTGGCCGCAACGAGTTATAAATTATGAGGGCGGAGGTGGCGAGGAGGGTTTTTCACACACACACAAAAAAAAAAAAATTTGTATAAAAGGATGCGAAAACAATGGGGGGAAGGAACTAAATCACACGACACAAACCTCCCCATCTCTCTCTCTCCATATATCTCATCCCCTCGCCACCCCTTTGCACCCATGCATACACGACGAAAAAAAAAAACGTATAAAACTGTTTGAATATTCCATTTCAACCGCCCTTTCCTACGGCATCGCGCTGGAGGAGGCGGGGGCGGCAGCATCGCCCGAGCCACTATTATTCATCGGGAGAGCTCCGGCTCCCCAACAATGTCTTAGTGAGCGCGCAATGTCAGCTGTCCCATAATTACGCATTTGTATACCGAATCCAACAAAGAAAACCAACCTGGCAGCTTTGGATAAGGGGCGCAATTTATAAATGTTGTTTTGTGCCCTTTCTCTATTTCTCTTTCTTTCTTTCTCATACTCTCACTCACACTCTTCGTGTACGTCTGCAATATTTAACTAAACCCGAGCAAAGGGAAGATAAAAACCTTCCACTCTCACACACTTCTCGTAATCCGAAATAAAGGAACGAGCGATTATATACATATATTTTTATATATATATATATATATATATATATACAAAAGGAAAAGAAGGGAAGGTTTTGCTGCAGATTAGAGTGAAAGAGAAGCCGTTATTTTTATCTTATCCGAATAATAACAATAATAAAAGAATCGCAGAGGAAATTTTCGGTAGATCTTCGGGATTAACCCGAAGCATTTTCATCGTTTATTGCGGAAGTTCATTAACCCTTCACCTGGCGATCGGCTACATAATAAACCCTTTTCCCCACCAATTTGTGCTAATGTAATTGCCGGACTTTGAGCATTAAAGCTTTCGCTTTTCCCCATGCTAATCTGGATTGATTCGAAAAGTTTCGATTTTGCGTGCGCGAACGCATTTACGTAATATTACCGAACTTAATCAACTGTTTGTTCCAGTTTCTATAAAACTTTATTTTTATATTAAGATATAAGAAACATTATTATTTAGATCGAATATCTATATTTTTCTTTCTAACTTACTTTTTACTGTAAATATAAACCAAAATTGTTATTTCCATCATCAAACACTTTTCTTCTCAAATTTAAAGCAAGAATTAATTTCCTGTAATAAACTGAACATAAAAACGACTCAGCTTTATATAATAAAGTATCAACTTGATAAACATAAATTTGTAAATAATATAAATCTTTTAGTTAATGTAACAAAAAAAATCATATAAATAATAAAGCACATTTACGTAATATTACCGAACTTAATCAACTGTATGTTCCAGTTTCTATAAAACTTTATTTTTATATTAAGATATAAGAAACATTATTATTTAGATCGAATATCTATATTTTTCTTTCTAACTTACTTTTTACTGTTAAATATAAACCAAAATTTTATTTCCATCATCAAACACTTTTCTTCTCAAATTTAAAGCAAGAATTAATTTCCTGTAATAAACTGAACATAAAAACGACTCAGCTTTATATAATAAAGTATCAACTTAATAAACATAAATTTGTAAATAATATAAATCTTTTAGTTAATGTAACAAGAAAAAAAAATCATACAAATAATAAAGCAAATTTAATTCGTTTGATTTTTTTAGTGGACGTAAAATCGGCGAGAGAGAGACTCAGGTCGTTAGTCTTCTTACGTACATCATAACTCTCTTTATATAACTTCCTTTTTATGAAGGACATATACATTTCCGGCGTTTTACTAAATTTCCGTGCGACTTAAGATTCTTTATCTCTCACCAACTTAGAAAATAACACAAATCACCAAAAAATTACTACATTTCAATGCGTTTGAATTATATAATAACTATGTAGATTTTCGTATATAAATTTATAAAAATCTTATACACTTTTACATTATTTTTATGTAAATTTACACAATTTAGCATTTGCAGCGATTATGAAATAACTTCCATAAATAAAACTCAATTTTCATTAATTGGTATATTTAAGTGAACGTATGTTATTACGTAATCTTTCCATTACAGATTAATTTTATTTTTTTTAAATTCATGTAACATTTTGTTACATGTTTGTTGTTTTTTTTTATGTAATATAATAGAGAAATTTGAATTGTTATTGAATTAGAAATTTATTAAACTTTTGTTAGTTTTCGTCCTTAATATGCGAACAATGTAATAAATCGGAAGGACGAAAATCTAATATAAATGGATTTGTAAGCAAACATAAAGAAGCGGAAATGCGGAACGTTGATTAATACATTATTACCGAAAAAGAAAAGGGGGAAAAAGAAAAATAAATAAACGAGAAGCGTTGGAGGAAACGTAAGGAGTCGAGTGTTTGAGTTTCCGCAATATACGATGTGTATTGGGGGGATAAAGTCGAGAACGGAGATGGATACAGAGATAGCAGAGGAGATGACCCCCGGAGGCTTCTAATCTGTAAGCAGCTTTTGGCTCGACTCTCCGTATTTACCTTCCCAAGTACTACTACTACTCCTACTGCTAGTTCCAACTCCGAAACCAATCCCACCTAAGATAAACCGAAACTCTCTCGTCCCTTAAACTGTTTCCACCTAAACTTGCCGCAATCCATCTTATTATTACATCCGTTCGCAATCGGTGCAGCTTCCAAAACATTTCAACAATCGCTGTATAGATAATTTAATGAACAAAACAAAACTCTACGCAATCCAAAAACTAAAAAGGAAAGTTTTACGGCTATCGATTTGGGGTTGCTTTCCACTACATCTGTGTGTGTATATACAAGGGGTAGGAAATAAAAAAAAACTTTTCGTGTGTGTGCGCGCTTATTCGTCTATGATTTAAGGGAAAGAAAAAGAAAATCAAAGGAAATTGGGTAGAAAGGAAGAAATAAATTTGTTAGCGGGAAAGTTTAATCTCTTATTTTGTTTGTTGTAATTTTAAGGGTTCGTGCAAAGCGCAACGTTCCGACGGACTTGGGGAATATTTCGAGTTTGAAAAAAACTTTCGTTTCTCTAAATAAGTATAGAATAAAAAAAAAATAAATGTTACCTTGCTGTTTAGCGTCGTTATCCTTTGCACTTTAAACACTTTACTTAGGTTTTTTTTTTTGGGGGGGTGTTCGGAAAGTTTTTCCTTTCTCTTGTAATTTGTTAATAAATTATTTGAGATTTGAGCTGGAAATATTAGATAAACGTTGATAAACTGGAAGGATTGGATGTTCGGATTTTAATTCAAAATGAATTTGTTTGAAAATTTGTTTGTTGCCGGAAGCCGGGATTTTCTTCGTTTTTCCTTTAAATAAATGTTATTTATTTTGTTTTTTTTGAATAAAAGGAAGAATAAAGAAGAACCGTTGAGAATGGTTTGAAGAGAAAGAAGAAGTAGAGTGTTTTAGGGTGATAAGAATAAAAAGAGGACTTACATTTAAGGGTTGGTTGGTTGGTTAGTTGTGGTGGTTGGTTGTTGTATCGACGACGGTCGGGCGGTCGGGCGCGGGCGTTTCTATCGTTATGTATAGCTGTTTTGCCCGGGTGGCGAGCGGCAGCAGCAGGACTGAAACCTGGAGTCGTCGCACGCGCGCGCTTCCTGCACGTGACCTAAGCGAATGCGCGACGGACGGCGCGGGGGAATGGCGGGAAGCGGTGGTGGTGGTGGCGGCGGCGGAGGCGGCGGAGGCGGCCTAGGCGGCAGCGGTGGCGGCGGATCCCGCTCCGCCACCACCGGCCTGCGTCGTCATGGCGACGGGGCGGCCGATGGCGCCGCGACGGTCACCCCCGCCGCATCATCGCGTCTTCCCTCCGGGCCCTAAACACTCGACACAACCTCTTCTCTCTCCTTCCTTTCGCTGCTCGCGAATTCTGATTTTCCTTATTAAAATTATTATCCATCACGTGCATACATATAACACACACACTCATCTACATGCATACGTTCAAGGATATACACGCCGCCTCCTCCTCCTCCTCATTCACACATCCATCTCAACCCTCGCCCGCATTTTCCCAGAACACGACTCTATTCCTAAAGCCCTGCTCCTTATTCATCTTCCCTTTTCCTCCTCCTCCTCGAGATTTGCGTAAAAGCAAATTTTCCAAAATCAATTTTTCCTCCAGTTCATCCCACACATTTCCCAGCTAAATCCAATATCAAAATACCTACTTTCTTAAAATATCGCTACTATGAATAACTATGCTGCACTTGATTCCATTATTCCATTCCATTTTCCTAGCAATATATTTTTTTTTTACAAAATTTTCAATAAATTTCCAATATCTTTCAAATCTATCAATATTATTTTCCTTCAACAAATTTTCCCTAATAGCAAAATTCAACGAATAAACGAAATGTTGTGTACGTATTTCCATGAAATATTCATCTTTCCATGAAAAACGATGTTTACAATTTATACGTATTTGTTCCAATTAATTCATATTTACTAATTAACTAACAACTACTAAGGATTTTCAATCCGCAAAAAAAAAACTTAATATTTTCCAAACGAAAAAATCTAGTTTCGTGCTGTTACGAAATATTCCGAATAAGAGAAATGTTATGTACGTGCAATGATGGATTGCGTTTTACGATTTCCATGAAATATGCAGAATATTTCCATTTTTTCCAAATATTATATTCAGATTGAAATGCTTTTATATATTTAAATTATTATAAAACTTACTTAATTATGATTGATTCCATTTCCAAAATTTTTTTAGTTGGAAATAATATTTACAATTAAATTTTAAGAAATATTCTAATTATAATTACATAAAATAAATAATTAACAAAGTTTTCAAAGAATTAGATTAATTATTGTATTTTTTTTATTATTATTATTATTAGTAAATATTATAGAAGTGATGAAAGTTATGAAGAAAAGTAGTAGAATGTATTTTAACCTTTTGACATTCAATATTACGTAGTGGCAAGACGCTATCAATCTTACACAAGACAAGCGAATCCATAATTTCAAGTGAATACCATGTTAGGGGTAGGTTTTCCAAACACACGCGAAAGCCAAATATCGTGTTTAAACTTTTAGTACATGTTAAACCGTACAAAAAGAAGAGGGAAGAAAAAAAAATATATATAATAAACACAGACATGTTCCGCTAATGCGATAAACACATTTTTAATAAAGTTTTATAGGTCACAAGTACTGGTTTAATCAATAAAATTAAACAAATGTTTGTTTTAAAGATCAAATTATTATAATTAAATTAGGTTAAAATTTAAAGTTAACTTTAAATATTTGTGTATTTGAATGTAGCAGTTCTTCAAAGGAAAAAGATATTCTGCGCGAAATGGCTGATGTCCATTGACTGGAGCTGCGCTAAAAGATTACGTAACGAATTTTCGGTAATTGCTTAAGTCCTTTGAAGCGTCGCCATCGAAGCGGAAATCGCGCAATAATATTAGCTGCAAAAGTTTAATGCCCGAAGACACGGAGACAAATAGGACCACAATCTTCGGCGTTGTGCTTCGTCCAAAACCTCCCTCCCTCCCTTCATCTCACCGTAACTTATTTGCTTTAGTTTTATCTTGAAGTTATTGCTTTAATGCATTCCAGAATCTCGGCCTAATTAGTGCCACGCCGCGAACCGAGCTTATTTTGATGTCGCCGCAGACGCCGCGCCGCTCTCTTCTCATCTCATCTCATCTCATCCTCGCATCAACGACAACACGAACTCTTTTCCCAACTTATACTACAAAGTTCACAGCTTCATCTCACCGAAAAACTCGTCAGATAAATTACATAGTTTATAATACGAATATAAAAGTTTTGATTTACTGCATTATTATATAATTAATTTCAAAATATTTTTACTTTTTAAATAACGAAAATTATGTTTTCTGTCTTAAAGACAGCAAGAAATCTCCAAAAAATGATGAAATTTTATAAAATTAGCACTGAAGTTACGAGTGTAAATAAAAATTCTTATTTCCTCCGGACGTTGGATATTTAGTTATTTTATTTTTTTTACGTAATTCCGAAGAAAAGAGTATAAAAAAAAATTGGTCGGAAGAGGAAGGAAACAAGGAGAGGGCGAGAGAAAAAGAATAAATAAATACAAGCAGCGGCAAACGCGGAAGGGATTTTTCCTGTTCTGTTGTGTTTTGCGCGATCGTGACCTGCATTCCGGAAATGCTTATGTGCTTATGACCTTGGGGCGATTTTTCCCGTTTCCTTCCTGTCCCTCGCTTTTTCTTTCTTTCTCTTTTCATTCATCCTCCCTACGCATTGCCTTATATATATATTTTCCTGTTTTGTTTTGGGTATCATTGGAAGCGGTCGTTTCTCTTCCGTTTTCTTCTTTCATTCTTTTTGTATGTGTCTCCAACCCCGCGCATTTGGGAATCGGGTGACGGGCTAAAGACATTTATATTTCACTTAGTTTCAATTGGATTATCCGACAAATGGGGAGGTTAAGGGATTCTTTTTTTTTCTCCTCCTCTTCCATCCTTCCTCATCCATCGCGGTGCAAAGAAATTAAGCGAGGCGAGGAAAAATAACAATCCACCAACTTTTTTTTTCATCTTCTCGAAGATGCAGTGAGACTTCAAAGGAACGAGAAACCCGCACACCCCTTACCTCTTCACGCGTCGAATATTTAACATACTTTATTACGTGTACGCGAAAAACGTATAGGCCCTCTAGACATACATATATACCTGCATAACTTTTATTATTTTCGCGTTCCTGCCCTCGAGCCGTACCCGAAAATTGCGAAAAAGTTGTTTGAAATGCATCTGCATGCATATACAAAACTCTTTTTTTTTCTGTTGTTGTTGTTGTTGCTGTTGTTGTTACCCTCGCTTTTTCGGTTGTTGTTATTATTTGTAGTCGTCGACGTGCTGAATATGTATATATTCTCCTATTTTTTTTTTTTTGCTAAAACCACCCCCGTTTTGTTACATTTTCTACGTCGTCGTTGTTGTTGTCACGAGTGTGAGTTTCAGAATTTTTCATTTTCGAGTATTTTATTTGCATGATCTCATTGTGTGAGTGCGCTCATTGTTCTCGATCTGGCATTCACGCAGTTTGTGCGAAATAAGCAAAGCCCGAGTTATTAGCGAAATGCACGATAGTCTGAAGGGGGTGGGATGATGATGGTGGTTGCATTTTGAAGTAGTATTGCTCTTCTGATATACATATATAGAGGTGTGTGCAGATGCATGTAGTATGAGAGCTAAAAGCCATGTTCGAGCATAAAACGTAAAACCTTCTCGTCAATTGGAACAAGCTGCATTAGGGGGTTAAAAAGTGATCCATTACTTCGCTCCGCGCGCAGCCCTCTCGCTAATTAACATTTAATCATTTCGCATCCTTTCGCATCCTATTCTTGTCCTTCCCCCCACACGCGGTTGGCGGAATTAGAAGAACCTGTGCAGAGGGTTGGAAAAGGTGGAAGAAGAGAAGGAGGCGACTTATCGATCCTCGACTGCATACATTTAATTTATTCCTTTGGGGGGACGGATGTTAAGTCGGCCGCATTTTGTGTCACATAAAAACGGGACATATTTCGTTGCCATAATAATCCACTTTTATTACGTACACACAACATGCAAGCTCCATTATGTAAACCCATCCTCTCCTTCTAAATAACTCATTAAATTTACACAATCGCCAATTACACGTCCATCGCGGCGAAATTTCTTTACGAACTATGAAAACTTCCTCTTTCTCTCTATCAATCCTCTATCCTGAATCCACCCCCTCCCTGATCCTTCCACTCCGCTTCCCTTGATTGATGTCGAGGTAGATAAAAATAAGTTGCGGCTAATGGAAAAGTTGGGATTTATTAGTTTTTATAAGTGAAATAACGTAAGCGCGAATCCGAGGGAGGAAAGGAGAAAGAAAGCGAAGACCGAACAACCGAGGGAGGAAAGGAAAGGAAAACAAACCTTTTGTCAATCCCAAGAAGCGAGCTTTATTTGGGTCACAATCAACTTCCAACCGGAGAAGAAAGAAGAAAAAGGGACGACGACACAACAACAACAAAAAAAAAAGAAGAAGAAGAAGAAGAAGGGGGATAAACACAAGAAGAATAAGAAAATAGTAATAACGCTATTGCAGATTAAATCCGGGAAATCTCCCTTTTACCCAAACATTAATACAATTACTATTGCGGCCGCAATTACGTTAATGCAATTCTCAAACTAGAGAAATTTAATAATAAGTAAACACGCGCAGAAACGGAAAATGTTTTCAGTTCGAAAATATATAAATAAATATATATATATAATTTGTTTGTGGAATCTCTGCAATGAATTACGCAACAGACTCGTGCATTAATAGCGTGTAATTATTATAATCGAATAATCGTAAAATCAACGTAATTACATTTCTATATAATAATAATAATAATAATATATAATTATAGAATAAATTTCATTTAATTCATTGCAATTTCCAAATTAATGGCATTGTTGTTATAATTACAACTAATTTTAGAATATTCTGCTTTATTTCATCAATTTTATTTACGTTATTACGTAATCATTGCTATTATATCATTTTTTAGTTAGAAATTAAATTCCGTTCATTATTAACAGTGCGTTATGGATTATGTACAATTGTT